AAGACAACAGTCAAAAGATCAGTTTAACTTTTTTGATGCACGTTTCATGTAATTGTAACCTTAGATACTCCTTTTCGGAGATGATTTTGATGTAACCGTAGGAGGCTTTAAAATGCAGTCAGTTCTTTGGCATCAAGGCCCCCTTGAGCGAGTTCTTTAGAATGTATGGTAAGGAGTCCTGGCAGCTTGTTTCCACTCAGCTGCTCTCTAATGAGGAGAGGGAGAAACTGACATGGTGTTTGTTTCTTGAATGTACCTGAAAGTAGCAAGTGGTTGGTATGTTTGGGGGTTGTTTGCTCTTTCTCTCTGTTTATATGTGTGTATTTCCAGGAGCACCGCAATCGTGTGTTCCACGATTTCCGAAATGGCTTATGCCGCAATCTTGTTTGCACTGGTAAGAGTTCCTAAACGTTTTCTTGTTTCTAAAGGATGTGATAGAAAGTGGATTAGCCATTAGCCGAGGTGTAGTGGATCACTGTTTGTAATAAACCAGAACGAGATTTTGGTGAGATGTCTTTAAGCCTGCATGTAGCAGGGTGCAGCACTCCTTTAGGCACATGGAGTTTTGTCTTTGGTGGCAAACTGTAAAGCTGCAGCTTGCCAGCAGATCATTTTACTGCGATGGTATTTTCTGCATGAATTTGTGTCCTTGTGTTTATTTTCACGTTTGAGAACTTTCTGAGTTGTTGGGCTCTAAACTCTACAAAATATCAGTTGAACTGTCACTAGGATCAGGTGAAGTTTTGCTGATTCTTTAAATGTTTGCAGCTTATCTTTTCTAAATACTTTTGCAGTTTTAGTTGGCATGCCTGTGATCCAAGTTCTCCACTGTAGAGCCTGATTGGGTAGTACCTGACACTGTCTGCTACCACTGTGTGTGTCTGGGCATCCTAACAAAAATCACTGGAAGCGGAATAAAAATAGTGGATATAGTGGGATGTAGCTAAGGTCCCAAGTCTGCTGTGGCATTGGCAATGCACAGCCCTGTGTGAGGAGGTGCTTGTTGAAGAAGACCTGCTCAGAAATAGTCTAATGTGGAAAAAACAGCATTGTGCTAATTATTTTTTCTGTTTAGATGTGTCAGTCATGTGGTTTTGGTCATTCTTCTTACATTATTCATGTTTATAATGGATGCATAGCAAGAAGAAGTCGTCACAGGATTGTATGTTAAACTCTCTTTGATACAAGGGAAGTTTTTATCTGGAAACTAGTGCAAGGCAATGTTAATCACTGTTAATCTAAATACTGTCAGCGTTTGATCTGATTGAAATTAACTTTCTTCGTGACCTGGATTGTCTTTCAGATCTGTTTACCCGAGGTATTGATATCCAGGCTGTGAATGTGGTGATAAACTTTGATTTCCCAAAGCTGGCAGAGACTTATCTCCATCGTATTGGCAGATCAGGTGAGAGGAAAAACATGATATAGGTGCAACTTCGCCTTGAATTGGCTTTTGGTTTTTATTACTGTAATTGAGAATTACCTTAGGTAGCTTTGATTTTTCTGGCAAATTTATTTTTGGCCATCATCTCAGATAGTTATCCTCACGAATATCTGAATAAAGAACTGTTCTCTTGAAACTGACCTGTACAGCTTAATGAAAAAAAAGCATATCTTGCTTTAATCTCAGGAGTCTTGCTATTGGCCCTGTTTGCAGTCTGGGGAAATTCTATACCGAAAACCTAACTTCAGTGTGTCTCAGACATAGCTTGCTTCTGCATGTGTTCCAAGATATGTTTCTGTTGGCTGCACATCAGCAAAATACATACTTAAGAAAGGCAGTAAACAAAGGAAACTCAGTGTACTTTAACTTTGTAGTTCAGGCTTGTTCAAGAACTCTGTAATTGAAAAAGGGCTGGGGTGTGCATAATGTAGTAGTGGAAGACTTTTTACTGGTAATTAACGTGAGCATTTTGAACCTCCTGAGTTTTCTTGTTGCTACGGCAGTATGGAAGTCTTGACTGAAATCTGATGTGAAAGGTCTGGAGACCTGTGGCAGGGTCCGGATTTGTTTTTATCACCAGAGAGCAACGTTGACTTCACGGTCAGCCCTCTGTTACTCAGTTCAGTTCAGGTGTGTGGTTTGTTTGCTTTTATTTGTCAAGGTCGCTTTGGTCATCTGGGCCTGGCCATCAACTTGATCACCTATGATGATCGATTCAACCTGAAAAGTATTGAGGAGCAGTTGGGAACTGAAATTAAACCCATACCAAGCAACATTGACAAGAGCCTGTATGTGGCAGAATACCACAGTGAACCTGTAGAAGATGAGAAACAGTAAACATGTACGTATATGTAAGTGCCTTCCTGAACAGTGACAGTTGTGTTGGATGAAAGGAGACTCGATGTGTCAGTGTTACTGCAGGGGGAGAGGGGCAACTGATGTACTGAAAAGGCTCTGAATGTGAGAAGAAGTTTGAAATTGAAATAGACTCTTAGTGCAAGGAATTCCTTGGACATTCTGAAGCTGGGAGGGGAGGGTGAGTATTTTTCAGTTGTTTTAATTGAAATGCTGATCATATGCTAAGGAGACCAAAAATGGGGGAAAGAGGGAACTGGGAATGGTGTTGGGAGAGGCTTAACTTATGATGGGCAAATAAGCAGCTCATTTGCTTAGCTAAAATGAAGGTGAAGGGCAGAGAGGAAAATAGTCCTCAAAAAGGTGAGGATAGAAAATGGATAGCTGTGAGAACAGAGCAGCTAAACATCTCACCAGGCAGAAGGAACAGGTGCAAGCAAAAGGTGCTACCTCTTTTACATCCTTTGATTTGTAGAACTGTGGCAGATGAAGGCAGGAGGTAGTGAAGCTGTAATTCATCTCTGCTGCCACTCGAGGTCGTCTACACAGTGTTAAAAGGAAATGAGGTTTCACTGTGGGAGACTCCTCTGAGTGCTCCCTTTCTGATCATTGTCTGAGGAACAGCTGCCGAGTTGAGGCCTGTTTTAGGAAGATGACTTGCCCTGGATTGCAGTCAAGCAAAATAGCTGCAGGGTGATGTTTGATCTGGTCTTAGTTAAGAGGCTGTGTTGTGCAAGATCTGTCATCATACAGTTTGGGCTGGAAATCATTCTTTTGCATACTTTTTTCAGAGAAAATATATTAGAGAATCCCAGGAAAGCTGCAGAAATTCTTTTTGGGTGACTCAGAAAAGCCCAAATTTGGCCATAGAAACAGACTGCTGTTACTGTTTAGAATGAACCTACAGTCTCTTCTTTGAAATCATCCCAGCAAAGCCCTAGCCAGTCACACCAAGCTGATTTGCAAGCCTCTGCTTTGCTGGCTGAGCCTCCTCTATGTTTATAAGTAAATAAAAAACACAAACAGGTGATCACAGAATCATAGAATCAACTGGGTTGGAAAAGACCTCCAAGATTGAGTCCAGCCCTACTGTGGTTACTGGGCCGTGGCACTAAGTGCCACATCAGTCTCATCTTATAAAAACCTCCAGGTATGATGAATCCACCATGTCCCCGGGCAGCCCATTCCAGTGAACTTGAAACAGGCTCTTGGGTCTCTTCTTTAAGGGGAATGCTGTGACTTTGCTGGAGAGCAGTTTACCCCTTCTAAAGGAAAAGAAGCCAGGAGGTAGTGGTGCTCCATAGGTGCGATAGGGCAGCAGCCTCTTTCTGTGAGGCTGAGGTCGAGCTGTTCGATATGCCTTTTGGGTTTTCCACAGTTGTTGCACAGTCAGTGTGACTCATCAGTTGTGTTCTGGTTTTGCATAGAACTGACTTTAACTATGGGTGTTGTGGTTGTTTGTTTTGGTTTGGTTTTTCTAGGCTTTGATTACACATGCCAGAAGGTGAAGCCCTATGATCCAGATCTGTGACACATCGTTTCTTTGGGGATACCCTTCTCTTTGTGGGTTTTTCTTCGTCTTTTCACTTCAGAACTATGAAGACTAAAGAGCTTGGCCTTTTTTTCTTTTTACATTTGGCAGCAAGGAAGAAAGAAGATAAAAGGAGGAATGTCTTTGTTTTTCCACTTGTTTGCACTGTGTGCTGATCGAACATTAGTTGCACTAACTGCTGGTTTTAAATTTTGTTTTCTTTGGGTGGGAGGGGCAGCAAGGGAAGAAGAGAAACCCTGAAAAGAGAAGAACCTTGATGAACACAAGCTTGTCTGCTATTTCAAATTCTTCAACCATCGACTGAGTGCATTTCAACTTCTCCCTGGTTACTCATCTGTTTTTTAAGCTAAAGAGCTTGTTACTTATTCGTGCAAAGTGCCTTATGCTATGAGACCATTCAGAATATCACCTTTTCCGACACAGCCCAAGAAATCAACAGCTGGTTTTGGTTTCAGGTCAAAGTTCCCCTCTCTTCCCCTTCTCCTCCTTCCCAAGTACTCAAGCCCAGGGCTGGGAGGTGAAATGTATTGGTAATACTACTTTTTTTTTCTTCAATTTTTTTTTTTAATTGGAGGAGTTGATATGCATCTGCAGTTCACCCAAACTGTAAATATCTGTATTTAAAATGAAACCAAGTTAAAATCTGGGCTGATTATAGGTGCAGCATCATAGCTCCAGAAGGAAAGAGTAGCCTGTCATCCTTTGCAGGAGCCGTAAGAGAAGCCCCTGTGCTCTAGCAGAACACTAAAGACTGGTTTCCATGAGTCTCCATTAGTAGTTACAGCACTTGATATGTAGACTTGTTTCAGAGCCATGGCCCTCTTTCCTCTGGTGCAGTGTGTCCCATAGAAAATCAGATGTGTATATTGTACAAATGTTGTAAATACGATTTTTTTTTTCTGTTTGGGTTCATATATAACTTTTTCTTTGTGATGAAGGTTGCTGGGGTTAAAGGGATTAGACTGATTATGGAAGCAGCTAAAGATGAGAGGGGCTCAGTTTTCTGCAACACTAAGCAATGAGAAGTGCTTTGACCTGTGAAGTGCAGGCCTCCACAAGTGTCCCTTGTCAGGGTGGGTTTGCTCTGGTGCTAGCAACACCTGTCCTGTACTGCTCAGATGGAAGAGGTCACTTGTGGGGCTCTGAGGCCTCTAAATCCATAGCTCAGCCTTTTGGGAGATGCTCTTCAATTTCCCCCTTGGAAACTTCAGAAACTTGACAAGCTCTGAAGGTGGCCATGCCCTGTGTTCCACCATGGTGTGAGGGAAATGCAGCGGGTGTCAGTGGCGCTGAGCAGTGTATACATAAGGTGTGGATTTGGATTTAAGGGAGACCATAGAAAACCAATTTACATGCATAAACTGACAGTTCTGGAGCTTTGTGGAATTGGTTCCCTTCCTGCAGCGTTGTGCATTTTCTGCCCAGAGGGGCTTCTGTGCAGACCTGTGAGCAGGTAAGGGCAAGCCCCTGTTAATGTTGGAAGCTGCAGGAAGCTGCTTGCCATCTCTGGTTTGGCATGAGTTGCTGTCTGTTATTTTGCATTGTATATTGCTGAAAAGTGCTTTCTGGTCAAGCAGTGTTGCTTTAAATTGTGCCCCTCCCAACATGCTTGATGTTTGGCCTGATCTACAGGCAAAAGGAGTGAGACAAATCAAAAACTGTACTCTTTTTAAATTCCCTTTTAGCCTGTTCACCACCACTGTCAAGAGGCACCTGGATGAATGCAATCCTTTTTGCTCAGTCACTTATTGCATATACAGATGATGCACTCACACCACGCTTGCTTACCTTTGAGGCAGGAATTAATTGTCTTAATTTCTCCCCATTTTGACCCTTTCTGCTTTTTTTTGGATTGGAGTAATATTGTTTGGAACTACAAGGTGGACTTAGCCATCCATATTTCCTTGAGGATCATAAATATAAGCCAGGTGCCTCCTGACAAGAACTTTACAAGATGGAAAGGTTTTTGTGTTTGGGATGTTTTTCTTCCTTTTGTCAAGCAGTGACTCCATAATTGTAGCAGGTGCTGCACTAGAGTACAAACTCAAGAGCTTGGTCACAGACACTCTGTGAGCCACACAGCTTACGTCTGACTGGCAGGTACTACATGTAAACAATTTCGGGGTGCTTTTTGTGGGTGGGGGGTGGGAGTTTGTGGGTGGTAACTTTGACCAAAAGTAAAATCTTGCTCTTGTACTGCAGCCAGCTTAAGATTTTCCAGAGAGAAGAGGGATCATTTGAGTGCAACAAAGACATGAAAAATGTAAATAAGTTTTGTATCTTACCAGGGCATGCACATGTAACAAGAACAGGATAGCAATGTCAAGTTGGGTGTGTGTGCTCTGCTTGGATTTGTGGTAGGTTAGCCTGGTGCCATGCATTGATGGTCCCTCTTGAAGCACAGGACTTTTGAAAGTATTACTTTTCACTTGGCCTCTCATTGAGGATTGGCACTTACCTAAACTATCAGGGGCACCATTTTTAGGTGGCTTCTTGTCAAAAAGGAAGCAGCCTGATTTTGGTGCTAGTAGGCTATCTCTAACAGATACGATCTTGCAAATGGAAAGATGCTCCAAAGGACTAGGATAATCCTAGTTTGTTTGTTTTTTGTTTTGTTTTGGTTTTTTGGTTTTTTTTTTGTTTGTTTGTTGTTTTTCTTATTGTTTTGTTTCTGGGTTGATTGTTTTGTCCTACCCAAGAGTAAGGAGTGTATATAAATCTTGGCTTCCTTAGATTCCTTGTGAGCTCCAATTTTTGCTGCTCATGTACCAGCTTTTACATATACATTAATTGGAGCCTTCGGTGATGAGCCCTAGGTCAAATACTTCCTCTGACAAAACTGATGGGAGTGAGAATCTAATGTATTCTTCACTATTCCCCTTGGAAGTCTAAGTGTGTCACTCCATGAATCTGTGAAGAGGGTGATGGAATCTTCAGCCACTCAAGATAAAAGCTGCAGGCTGGTCTCTGGGTGTGCACCGTCAGGGGAGCACTGCAGCTGCTGGAGGCCTTTTCCCAAAGGGAAGGGGGTGGGTTGGTCTCAAATACATGTTTCAATTTCCAGAATGAGATGAGAGCATCTTTCCTTTGCCCTCTGTGACCATTTTTATGGATAAGAACTGGGAAGTTCAACATGAATTCATGTGTATGGTGGTATCAAATCATCTCATTCTGATCTTCTGTTTATTTTTATTTGGGATGGGGGGAGGGTGTCTGCTCCAAGGATTTAAAAATGCTTCAAACACTTATTTTTCTCTGCAAATGCTTGATAGGACACAAACATGAGCAGATGGCTGTCTTGCCTCAGTTTCTATTTGAGAGGTTACAGAGATGCCATGCCGTGTCTCCTGAGCTGCTGTTGTGGTGGTTCTTGCCCTGGTGCTGAACTTTGTAGTGCTGCTGGGGCCAACTAGTCGCTGCTTTCTGAGGACGAAGTGAATTTTGTTCCCAGAAACTGCAGTGGTATAGCTGCCATCATAGAGGTTGGGCAGCTGTAGTCCCCGCAAGGGAGTGTTCCGATTGCTGTGAACTTCTGGTCCATCTTTTTTTGAATCACAGTTTATCTTTGTAGTAAACCAGGTCTCTGGACCAAAGAGCATGCATCTGAACTTCCCAAAGAGGCTTTGGCAGATTATCCTGTAGGTTTTACTCAGTTCATTGTCATGTTTCTAAAATGCCTCTATGTGGAAGCATTGTTAAATCCTGCAGTAGACAAGTTAGGGCAGGGTAAGGAGGGGAGGGGGGAGGGTTGGGTATATTAAGATACAGTCTTGCTGTATTTTAACCAATAATTATGGGGAAAGGGTGTCAGGAGAAGAAAATAGTCACTATTCCCTTAATTGAAAGAAACTGGAACTTTTATTTCAAGAAAAGAAATCATTTGCAATTCAAGTGGAGCGTCATAATCCACTGGTCCCTAGTCAAGGGGTTGATATTCTTACTGTTAACCAGCGAACAACATGGTCTAGTCCTTGAAAACAGCTGGGGGAGGGAGGGAAAAATTGGCTTTCTGTTAAATTGGCAAACTCTCCAGTGGAGCTCAGATTTGTTGAGAATATGTTTTTTCTGGCTGTATATGTGTTGCAGCACTGACTTGTGAAGATCCTCATGAGTTGTGTGTGCAAAAAGATGAATGGTAAAACCCTGATTTTGTTGATTAAACTCAATAAAAGCTCCCTGGAACTCCCCCTTGGTCTGATTTTTCTTTTTTTTCTTTAAGCTGTGCTCAGTAAAAAACATGCTGATGTCCCTGTAGAGACCCAGGGTCTGTGTTGTGTGCAGCGAGTTTGGAGAGAAGCCTGGAGAAAAGGAGGCGCTCGGTAACTGGCTTTCTGTTCTCCCCTGCCCACGAGAGGCATCCTCTTTCTGCACAGACCCTCCAGCCTAGGTGGTAGCTGCTCTTCTACTGGACTAGTAGACTTTACCTGGCATCTGGTGGCAGTCTCAAGATTGTGCAATAATTTTCCAACCTGGCCACAATTTAGGTAAGTAACTTTGTTTGAAAATTCGATAACAAAAATGTTCCTCCACTAGGGTTGTTATTTGGGGAAGAAAAGTAAGTTTCCAAGGTTGTTAAAACACAGGAGCTCATTAGCACGTGTTCCTGGGTCAGGCAGTGTTTCTGATAATCTTGAGAGGAGCTTAGACCCAGGTCCTGTTTGTCAAGCATTTCTCAGATCATAGTGTGGCCAAGGAGGAAGGGTTGGATGCACGGCCAAGTGAGTCCTGTCAGGTTATGGGCCAGGACAGTTGTGTAAGCTTCTACAGCAGGCATGGGCTGTGACAGGGTCTTCTGACCAGAGTGAAGTGTCTCTGAAAGGGAGGGAAAGCTTCTGCCACACCTCAGCATATACATGACTGCTCAATTCTGAGCCCACAGCCAGTTCACACTCTCAACTGGAGTAGTTGAACACTGTCAGCTGTTAAAACATAGACATAGCAGCTTTTGGTGTCCTTGCAGAACAGGCCTTCTAATACGTACGTGGCATGCACAGCTGCAGTGCAGTGTGAAAGTTCTGTGGCATATGTCTTAAGAGAGAGCTTTTCATCAGAGAACTCCAAGCAACTGATCGGGGGAATAGGGTCACCCAATTCTGTGTTTCCTGACCCTTAAAGTAGCAGTGATGTGAAAGCTCTGGAAATAGTTGGTAAGCTGTGATCAAGGCTACATGATGAGGGTGCAAGACCTGCCCGAGACTGGAACTTGCTGGCTGCTTTCCAAAAACCTCTCGGGTAATTACCCAGCATGAACACGGCAGGAATTGCATATGCTGAGTTTCTGATTCGGTTGATCCTGGAGTTCATCCTTCTGTTGGATTCTTTAGCTAGACCTGGCCTGAATTGCAGTGGCTGCACTCGAGCAGCATTGCATGAAACTCGAGACGTTTTTCTCTCGCCGCCGCCCAGCGAAGAAGGGAGCGAAT